AACGTTGAAGAGTGTACTGTACCACAGCTTCGACGATGGCTGTTGTGTGGAGGAGCGAAAACAAGCGGCAAGAAAGCCGATCTTGTCAAGAGGTTTGCTCAGACGATGGTTTATTATTGATCATTTATCAGGGTTTGTTATTTTGAACTGTCCAGCGTAAATATATACTAAGACATGGTTTGCTTTACTGTTTATTTTAGATATAAAGACTATGTCAAGGGAGGCCTTCATTTAAAAAACTTACGAGATCCGGATGGAGGTGTGCATCTTGCACGAAAGAAAGTCTTACTAGGTGTAATGGATGAAGTAGACCCTCCACATGTTACTGATATTTTCCCTAAGGATGGTTTCCATGAAGATCTCACTGATTTGCCTTTCGTAAATTTTGGCACTGTATGGAAGTACATGATCGAGTCCTCCAATGCAAAAAAGCAGCTATCCACAGCTAAACCACTGGTCAAAGGCTTTAACTTTTTTAAGTCCGGTAACTTAGTAAAAGTGACCGTCTGTTCTCGAGAAAATAAGTGGTACTTAAAGAGTCAAGTTTTGCCCTCAATGAAAAAATCAAGCGTCTATAACTGTTTCATCTTGCTCTTACCAAATGGCCACATAAAAAGCGCGTACTGTGGTTGCCCAGCAGGTGTTGACGGTCGATGTAATCATATCGCGGCAGCCTTGTTTGGACTTGAGGAATTCTGCAAGCAACGTGAAAAGCAGCAGCAAGAACAGACCTCTCGAACGTCCCAACCTTGCACTTGGAATGTTCCCCGTAAAAGGAAAGGAGAGGTACTGCCCATAAGCCAAATGAAATTTAAGAAGCATGAACATGGGAAAGAAAAGAAAGCTAAAGAAAGATCGAGAATCTGAAGTTAAGCGCGATAAGGACGTGAGAGCCCCCCACCAAAGGGAATGGTCCAACACCAGACGATATAATGTGTTGACTTCTGTTCTCTGTGTTCAAGAGGAAACGGGGCAAACTATAGGTCTTAGTCATATTTTACCTCTAAAGACAAGTAACAATTTAAAAGAAATAATTGGCAAAGAACATAGCTATTGTAGAGTAGATAGCACAGTTCAAGATAGAGAAAGCACTGGTGAGTCTGTTCACAAAGAATCAGCCCCTGAAAGCTTAGCTTCAAGTCAAACGGAAGTTCCTGAATTAAACAGTCATCCTTTTTCAATGGATATGCTGCAAAATGAATGCCAAAACGTCAAGCGGAAATTATTTCTCAATGAGAAAGAAGCAGCAGAGGTAGAAAAAAACACTCGAGGCCAATCAGCAGACCCTCTTTGGCATGACAGTCGGAACCAAAGAATCACATCATCAAAGTGTTACAGATGTGCTGTACTTAAGGATACCACATCCCCAACAAAAGCAATACAAGAGGTTCTAGGGTACAAACAGTTTGCTCAACTAAGGAAATGAAGGAGGGTCTTTCTAAAGAACCAGAAATTATACAAGATTTTTTAAATACTATGAATGAAAAGGGACACAAAAGAATAAAAGTAGAGAGATCAGGACTTATTGTAAGTACCTTACATGGTTTTCTGGCAGCTAGTCCAGATGGTTTGGTAAAGGACCCCTCACACGAACCACCCGAGGGAATGTTAGAAATGAAGTATATTCAAATGAAAGAGGACAAAACACTGACGGAGGCATTGCTAAGGAAGAGAATTTGTGTGTATGACAATGAGGAACTAACTGTAAATCGCAGTCACCAGTACTTTTACCAAGTGCAGCATCAAATGTATGTTGCAGGTCGATATTGGAATGATTTTGTGGTGAAAGGGTCATTGTCAACTGAGCTCTTCATCAAAAGAGTACAATTTGATCCAACTTTCTGGGGCCCAGTGCTTCTCAAACTGAACCAATTCTTTGAAAAACACATGCTACCTGAACTTGCATACCCAAGGATTAAATATGGTTTACCCAGATTAGATATGTTGTAAATGTATAGAAACGTCTTTGATAAATGTCTTTTCCCATTTAAAGAACCTGCAAAAGGTCTGTAAAAAGAAGTGAATGAGCTCTGAAGGCAGGATCATGCATGCCCTAAGACCGTTGAAATGTAAGTCCAGAATTTTAATGCAGCTTCCAACATTCTGAGGAGTATGTCAGTGTTTTCTTTTCAAGAATTCAAGCAAGTATTTTTACAGTTTGTAGCTGGTTAAACTTGATTTCATGTTAAACTTTTTCCAACCTTAGTTATTTCACCTCTTTTGTCTCATAGCCCTAATTATTTATTAGTGCCTACAGACAAAAAGGTTTAACCTGCAATCAAATATAACCTGTAACATGCACATTAATGGTTTGGTATCACATATTCATGTTTTATGAAGACACAAACAAAATAAACAAAGAAAATTTGTTTAAAGGAGCAAAAGTTTACTTTGTTTACATTTCACTATTCTTCAGATAACGAAACGCATAACAATTCAATATTACAATTTTTCTTTTTTATGAAATAAGTGGAGGGTGGAAATTTGTGAGTGCTGCAATAACGATAAAAATGTCTGAAGCTATTCCTGCGAGGGAAACTGGAACATATGCCAATTCTTTATTCGCTCCATACATCTTTCGACGTGAACTCTCAAACTGGCTACTTTCTTGTTTTTTTCTCCTTCTTCTTTAGAAAACTGCTGTTTTCCTTTTAAAAAGGCAGGTATTATGAGGGTTGCACCAACTGCAGCAAGCTCATCTTGAATGAGAAAGCCTTTATCAGCCATAATTTCATCATCTTGCTCCAACAAAGCTAGGAAACCACTCTTTACTGTAATTTCTTTGTCAGTAATACTACCAGGGTATAATTCAGGGGGTAATTCCCACTAGGCTTTTCATGGTTGTTCTAGATTTGTACGAAGAGTAACAGGAGGACTGATTATCCAACGCAGATGGACGAGCTTGGACGCTCCATTTGTATTTCAGTGCAGTCAATAATCAAAGCTGTCTTGGGATAAAATTCCTTGAAAAGTTTAGGCATATGTTCCTGAAGAACATCTCGTGGTGGAGTGATAATAAGTTCCTGAAGTTCAAGGCGTAAAAATCGAATCCATGTTCTAAACATTACAGAAACTGTTGACTCGGAAATTTCAAATCTGTGAGCCAAATCTCTTTCAAACAGGCCAAGCCTTAGTCGCATCAACACAAGAACAAACTCCTGAAAGGTTGTAAGAATTCTTGGTCGACATGGTTGCCAAACTGGGGGGCAATCAAAACATTTTCGATCATAGTTTCCATAGCTTATGTTTTTCGCTGCATCCTTCACCATATCAAAGCAAAGCATTAGTGTTTTATAATTGGGAAATCCAGTGTAAAAAGCAATGTCTGAGTCCTTATCTTTGAACTGATTAATGTCAAATCTAAGCAATTCCGTTTGGGTGCCAAAATTTACTTTTACCGTTTCATAACGTTCAGTTTGCAAAGATTCATCTTTGTTTTGTACTTGTTCATAAAAATCCGTTTGCATACCTTGATCACTGGTGAGCAGCACATCCTCCGTTTGACAGAGATCACTTTCCGGTAAAGTGTCTTCGGAATGGTCTTTGTTAAGAGATGCAAGTCTTCGATTTTTTTTACATATCATTGATTTCTTGACAATGTTTCCGGAGAAACACGCTTTAAAACACGCCTAGTTGACGCATGTTTAGACCATGGAAAAATCGACGGTAAATGAAGCCTGCTGCGCTTATGTCCACCCTCGAAGTGATCTCCACAAATACGTGTATTATCGGCGTCGAGTTTTAATGTTGCATTACGAATTAGAATCTTGTACTGTCTTCGCAATTTTTTGTCCTTTGGAATTCGGTAATACGAAAGCCCATGCTTGGTTCTGTAATTATTCGTACATCAAGGAACAGAACAATTAGCATGCTTTGCCATTTTTCTTCAGTGTTTTGCGAGGAAAACTTTCCTCGCTACCGCCATTTTAAATGTCTTGCGTGTCCACCCAAACGATCCCACAAGACCTTACGAGTCAAGTTCGTGCCCAGATTCCCCATAGTTTCTGGAGTGGGGAATTGCGTAAAAAATTCAAATCCAGCTTGGCTTCCTAGCCTTAACTGCAACTTTTTCAAACTTGCGGATATCAGCAACGGTAACACCATCATACTTCTCTGCTTAGTTGTGTATAATAGCTCAAAATGGAACACTGTGGTTTGAAGCTGAGGAAAAGATTTGATTGATCTCTGCAAGGGATCCAGAGCGGCACTGAAAGGAAACGGCAGCTCCCAAAAATGGTATGAAATTGCGTGGGATTTCAACAGGTTGAGCGAAGAAGTAAATTCCTGATCATCATTTAAAACAGGAGTGCAGTGCAGAGATAAATGGTACAGTATACTTAACTGCTTCAATAATGCTAAAGATTCGTCAACTAAAACTGAAGGAGATACCATGAAAATGAAATCTTTTCAGCACTTCGTCGAAATGAACAGCTTCATGGCCAATAAACACGAAATCGCAATGCCTTTTGTTAGGAATTCAGGCTGCAAGTCCAGCACATTCAGTGCAAGTGAGCGGAAAGTAAGCTTCCCGTTGCACTCAGAAGAACAAGAGAACGAGGAAGATGGATCAGAAGTTCCCAAAAAGAAAGGAAAGGGACATTTGGAAGATGACAAAGATGAGCGCTGGTATGAACGTTTTGGAAGCAAGCCAGAAAAACCAGGAAAATTATTTAACTTTTTGTCAGTCTGAAGCTAGAGGACATGAGTTAATAATCACTGCCTTTGCAGAACTTTGCACAATTATTAGTGGTATTAAAAATGGAGACAAAGTGAAGGCTGGAGTAAATTTCGGACAAGGAAGACTGAATATGATGCGTGAACAGGCTTGACACAGTGCTGAACACCATGCTTGATCTTGATTGGATTAAAGAGCAGATGGTTTCTGAAACACCAGTTCCATACCTTAAACAGATCTTTGTTCATATCAGAGACAGCCGACTGCTTGTCCTGTGTTTGAAAGGAAATGAGTAGTTTTGTATTGTCCACGTAACACTGCATACTGCATTTTCTGGCCACAGACGGGAGATCGTTAACATAATGCTGAAAAGATGCGAGCCAAGGATACTACCTTGAGGGACTCCACTGACTAAGTGGAGAGGTTCCACAACTGCTGAATGAATGCTGACTACTTGGCGCCTTTGCTGAGATAACTGCAAAACCACTGGATGGTGGAATGGGAAGCTCTGACATCGTGTAACTTTGGCTTTGCTTAAATCTCATAGTGTAATAGCTGTCAGTTTCCTTTGATCCCCAGCGCTCAGTATTTCATTAGTCATTTTGATGACAGAGGTTTGGGTCGAATGCCACGCCTTGTAAGTGCTGTGATTCTTTGTTCGTCTTCCTTTTTCATTTAAACAATATGAGAACTGGTTATGGACAACTCTTTTGCAAACTTTGGAAAGGACTGGTGACAGAGAGATAGGTCTATTGGTAGTTGCTTGTTCGTGTTTTTTTGGGATGGGCATCATTTCAGCTGTTTTACTGAATGCAGGAAAAGTGCAAGTGCCAAGTCAGGTGCTTATGATAGAGGTAATTGTAGGAAGGATTGACGAAGGGCTATCTTTGATGACACAAACTGGGATTTTATCGTCCCTGGGGCCTTATGGGAAGGCATAGACATTATAATTTCCTCAACATGTTTGCATTCAGTCGTGTGGAAGGTAAACTGTTCAGCAAAAGGATATTGTTTTCGAACAAAGCTTTCCTTGTCTAAATCAAAACTGAATTCATAGACCATAGATTTAATTTCATAAACGGCACTTGGGCCGACAGAGAGGAAAAACTGATTAAATTCATCTGCGAAAGATTTGTCATCATCGATTATTTCTTTGGAATACAAAGACATATGGCTATCCAAATAGTGTTGGTATTATTCGGATTTCTTTGGATTTGATCCGCTACGAATTCTTTCTGAGCAAGTCTAATTTAATGGTTAACTTCACACCTAAAGTTCCTGTAGGCAGACCACGCCAGAGGGCATTGGTTTTCTTTGCCCTTTTACACCAGCAATCCCTTGTCTTTTTCAGCTGTTATTATCATTTACGCATGGATTCAGTTTCCCACGGGCTTTAAAGGTTTTGATAAGTGCATGTTCATTAGAATAGCTTGAATAAAGAAAAGTGCGTGCAATTTATCATCAACATTGCTAAAGGCATCTGCAAAAGACCAGGGGGCTACAGATATATCCTCGTAAAATTTTTCGGACCTATAATTTTTTAACAACTGTTGGGGTAATAAACACAGGCTTGGTGCAAGGTTTCTTTAATGGCAAGGTGACATACACCAGGTTGTGATTGCTGATAGGGCACTGCAAAACTTTAGCCTTCTCAACCTGTTTTGAATCGGATGCAAGAATAACATGTAACAGCGAACTTAAGGCTTTATCTGGGCAAAATATGGAGAAATTGAAAATTTTTAAAACTTGTGCTGGATTTTCAATATTTACAGAAACGTGTTCTTACAACATTAACAATACCACTTTTTTGACTTAGGCTTGGTCAAAGAGGAACACAAGAAGTGATACCATACTAAGCAGCGATCACGGGCAACAGACTCTTGATCATCTCATATTTCCTTGCTACACACTTTACAATTCCAAGGAGCTTCCTCTTTTTTCTGAAGTATTTTTAAAAACTTTAAACCACGCATCCTGACTAAAATACTTCTCAATTCTGAACATGTTGATGTTCTCGCTGTCACATATGGTGTGTGGAACTTGGTGGATTTTTGTCTCTAATTGTTGACAAGTGCCAATTAGCAGATGCTCCGTCTTCTCATCATTCAGTAAGAGACGATCGCTAACACCCTGTGTTGTAT